TATATAATTAATACTATATAATAAAAATATTATTTTATTTAAATATTTATGAAAATATTACATTAATTATGTTAATTAAATACTATCTTAATACATGTTTTGATTTTATTATATTTATATTTATATATATAATTTTATTTTGATAACTTAAAAAATATTTTAATAATTAATTTTTTATTTTAAATATATAATTAATTTTAAAAAATCATAATAATTTGTAAAAAGATAGTTAAATATATAAATAAAGAAGTAAATTATGTTTTATACCAAGAGATAAATTGTTAAAGTATTACATCAATATTTGTTAAAAGAAAAAAGTGTTTATTTAAAAAATACATTATAATATTATATTCTAGAGAAATGTTAATGTAAATGATATTTTAATAGTAATTTTTTTAACAGAAATTATTGAAACTTAAAGAAAACTTTTAAAACCTAATTAAATGTCCGTAATTTTTAATATAAAAAAGAATACAAGATAATATTTGTATATTTAAAAGGAGGAGATTGTAATTTACACGTAGTGTTATTAATAATGAAATAGTTAGTATAACTTAAAGCAGTAATTTGATTACTCGGCATATTCTATGCTTAGTTGCATTATAGTTCCATGATGTGTATTTTTGGCACTGAAACATGAGCATCACTAGTGGTAATAACTCAATTTTGAAAACTCTGAGGTTGAAGAATCCGAAGCTTGTGCTGATGGAGCGTTGTTCCAATGTTTGGGACCTTAAATTGATCCATGCCTACATGCTAAGAACCCATCTCTTCTTCGATCTCTTCGCAGTCAGTCGCCTCGTGGCTTTCTGCGTACACTCATCCAACTTGCTCCATTACGCCATCAAGCTCGTGTCCCAAATTCAAAGTCCCAACCTTTTCATCTATAATGCACTTATCCGAGGATGTTCCACCACTCAAAACCCTGAAAATTCTTTTCACTATTACATCAAAGCTCTACGCTTTGGTCTATTACCTGATAACATCACTCACCCTTTTTTGGTTAAGGCCTGTGCCCAGCTTGAGTCTTCAGCTATGGGCATGCAAGTGCATGGTCATATCATTAAGCATGGATTTGAACATGACTGTTACGTTCGAAACTCCCTTGTTCATATGTATGCCACTGTTGGGGACATAAAGGCTGCAAGGAGTATTTTTCGGAGGATGCGTTTGCTAAATATATGCATATACTAGGGATTGTTTGCTACTCTAATCAGTAATATAGCCACCCAAAAAAAATATTAGTGTTGTTGCTGCATAAACTCAGCAACAAGTGGTGTTACTGCCACACGAATTTAGTCATACAGCCTCAAAAAATAAATACAAAATGCCCCTATCCAAGATCATCCATCATCCCCAACCTCAAGATTTACATCACTCAAGTCATCTTCATCTTCTAATATCAAAAGTTCTTCTTCTTCATTATTTTCAATTTCATCCTCATCTTCTATTATTGATTTTCCCTTACCAATCTTGGCATTCAAGTCTCTTGGACCTATGTAATCAAAAGAAAATAATAAGGTCTAGTTCTAATTCTAACTTCCAAGTTCTAAACTAACTTTTAAAATAAATAATTACCTCTCTTTCTTTTCTTCTTTGGAGCTCCCTCATCAACACCAAAGCACTCATGTACATCCATCCATGAGGCATCAATAGGCAAGCAAGGATTCTCCTTTTCGGTGATCTACTCATCATCGGATTTAATATCTGACAAACATATGGGATCGTAGATATCTCCATTCTCTTCTCTACTATTTTGCCTCATCTCAAGTTGAAGATTATATTTGACATATACAAGTGCATTTAATCTTTGTTGCTCCAATCGATTTCTTCTCTTAGTATGCACTTGGTCAAATGTACTCCAATTTTTTTCACATCCCGTGGCACTACATGTAAGACTCAAAATTCTTATGGCCACCTTTTGTAACTCTTTACCTCTTTTACCGTAACTCTCCCACCAAAGAGCTACAAAAAAAAGTGTATTTAGTTTACAAATGTAGTTATTACTAATTATTATGTATTATCTTTATGATATTTATAAAGTAAAAATTAAAGGGATACCCGGTTGTTTCTTATCTCTAGTAGCTATTGCCATGTCCATTCCAAAGATCTCCTTAGCTCCCTTAAACTTTTCAAGTTGTTGATCTATTATAACTCTTGTCCTTATATCCGGAACCATTCTTTGAAAGGTTTCATATAAACCAATTAAGACTTCACTATCCGAATTGAAGTTCTTGTCATAATGATACCTAACCAAATAAGAAATAACTTAGCTACTAGGCACAAAGAAAATAGTAGTTCTTAAAATGATAATTATTTTTAAATAATTTACCTAGGATTGAGATAATAGGCAGCTGCATGAAGAGGCCTATGAAGCTGCAGATTCCACCTAGTGTCAATAATCTTCCACACTTTTTTATACCTTGACTCTTGCATTTGAAAGTTTTGAGCAATTTTCTCTTTAGCCCTATCCATTGCTTCATAAATGTATGGTGAGGCTGGCTTTGAATCACCATCTACAAGCCTTAACACTTTCACAAGTGGAATCACGCACTTTAGACAATATGTAATTGATCTCCAAAATCTATCATCACTCAACACTAGGTTCATGACTTGCTTAGCCTCACTTTTACTAGCATGTGGACTAGTAGCCCATTCCTCCGATGCAAACATTGATCTAAGAGCATTCTTTTGTTGTTTAATGCAATTTAGTGTAAGATAAGAAGTTGCAAATCTTGTCACAGCTGGTCTTGCTAATTCCCCTCCATTGGAATATTGTCTATACAAATTAATTGCTACTCTAATCAGTAATATAGCCACCCAAAAAAAATATTAGTGTTGTTGCTGCATAAACTCAGCAACAAGTGGTGTTACTGCCACACGAATTTAGTCATACAGCCTCAAAAAATAAATACAAAATGCCCCTATGAAATCACAATCGAACAGAAAAGAATTCTTCAAAACGGATTTAAAGCAGCCAGAGATTTTGCACTTTCCAGTTATACTAACGTGTAGAGTTTCACGATTATTTCATATTCTTTATTCTGAACAGATAATTATCAATAACGCAATCCCGAAATTGCTCACCTCAGTAATTGAGGTACTTGACTCGATTTATAGTGGTGACTCTGCTCGGCACAAGATTAAATCCTCTATCGGATCAATGGACACAGAAACTTGCAGTGTTAGAATTCACTTGGTTAATGTATGTCCTTCACTTCGAAACCTTGGATTTACGTATAAACAAATTGTTGAGAGCAATTCAAGTGAGAAAATATCCCGTGGCTGCTCGATTCAAATGGCAATCACATCCAATGTCAAGCACTAAAGGCAAAATGAGTTCGTAATTGATTTATTTCCTATCACAAGGTCATAGTTTTGTAATCGTGAATGAAATGCTCAAAATGCACCAATTGCTAGAATTAGCAACTCGCAATTGGCATGGATATAAAAATACAACATTCTTCAGTATTCATTTTCTAGAGGATCAAGGGAGGCACTTAAACAAATTACCCATCAATGTGATGGATATAATGTACTTGTAGAGAAGATTATACAGGGGATAGCGATGCTGTATAAGAACCATCAGAGTAACTTATGCCTTTTAATGAACATGAACACAGTCGAGATGTGACTACAGTTTCTGCAATGCCAAATGAACTTTTGCAGTCTTGTAAGCTTTAAGTGGTTTTACTGCCACACGAATTTAGTCATACAGCCTCAAAAAATAAATACAAAATGCCCCTATCCAAGATCATCCATCATCCCCAACCTCAAGATTTACATCACTCAAGTCATCTTCATCTTCTAATATCAAAAGTTCTTCTTCTTCATTATTTTCAATTTCATCCTCATCTTCTATTATTGATTTTCCCTTACCAATCTTGGCATTCAAGTCTCTTGGACCTATGTAATCAAAAGAAAATAATAAGGTCTAGTTCTAATTCTAACTTCCAAGTTCTAAACTAACTTTTAAAATAAATAATTACCTCTCTTTCTTTTCTTCTTTGGAGCTCCCTCATCAACACCAAAGCACTCATGTACATCCATCCATGAGGCATCAATAGGCAAGCAAGGATTCTCCTTTTCGGTGATCCACTCATCATCGGATTCAATATCTGACAAACATATGGGATCATAGGTATCTCCATTCTCTTCTCTACTATTTTGCCTCATCTCAAGTTGAAGATTATATTTGACATATACAAGTGCATTTAATCTTT